CAGGAAGATTTCCTGTGTAAAAGAATTTGTCTTCTAGCTATCAAAGTTGAAAAGGCTATTCTATCTTTAAACCTAAAGAGATACCTATACTATCAAGTGGTATTGTTAAAAAAAAAAATTGAGGTATACATATTACGCTGACATTCTATTCCTATGATTTCAGATATTGTTTAATACACACCAAACCAAAATGATTTCAAGAATGGGCATGACCAAAACATATGTGTTAAAGTTCCAGGAGCACTATGACATCTATATCAATTTTCATCCACATTCTCAAATGCCTTTGCCAGACTAGCTTTAGAATAATGCATCCTGTGTAGGAACAATTAAGATAACTTTAATTTTATCTGGGGAAAAATAATATTTTACTTTGGAAGAAGGGATGTCATAAACCGTCAGACCAATGATGTTTAAATATGATTCATTTTGATCCAGTGAATGATACAAGAAACAAAATTTGGTGTCTAATCTAATTCAGGTCTGATTTAAATGTTTACTAAATCAATTCACACACACATAAAAGGCAAATAAAAAATCCATAATGTCAGGAGTGTGGAATCAACCGCCTGACCAGGAAATGTCCCTCATTTGACTTTCACAGAGTTGGCAACCCTAGTTAGAAAGTTTCATATAAACAAAATCGAAAGTATAATTTTCCTTATAAGTGTTTTGAAGCTATTGGTTGATTACATTCTTGATAAGGTGTGACTTTTAAATCTCTAAATTAAAAAATCAGATTTTCATAAGGTTTGGAAATGTATTCTTCAACAAAACTTTTCACAACAATCTGTCAATTTGAAAACATCTGTTGCACAGTGATGAAAAAAGTAATCTTATTTTATAGAGATTGGTTGAAAAAAGGCAATCAACTTCTGCAACAGAAACTATCGGAATTTATGATTGCATTAAATGCACATAATAAAAAATATACATTAACATATATTGTTAAAGTATTTAAGGCGACCACTCCTGCTATGACTCAGCTAATATGGATGTTATAATATATTCTGCAATGGTTCAGTAGAACCGTCTTTAGTTGAAAATTGTGTGACTTTATAGACAAAAAAATATAATAAGTTTACTCTGATTATAAGGTTCTTTCCATCAATTAAACATGAAGAGATTTTTTAAAGTACAAAATCTCAACTAATTACCTTTTTTTCTGCTCTTAACAACTGTACAAGCAATTGATTTCCAATTATGTATTGTGTCAGTAATGGCTTTTTTCATAAATAATGTAACACTGATACCAATTCCTGTTTGTTTTATGACTCATTTTTAATGCAATATCATAAATGTATTTGTTAGAAATGTATTAGAATGTATAACTAAAACAAGTATATCGAATTCATAAAATATATTGATAATTCAAACATTCTTGTGCATTTCCTCAATAAAATATATTCGAGTTATTATTTTTTCATTATTTACTGGATAATACTTCCCAAATAATATTATGATTGGATGCTAAATATGATTTGATATTTCAAATGTCATTCAGTCTATTTCGTAACTCTTTACGTTGCCCTGCCATCTAGTGGAAAAAGATTGCATGGACACTGGTGTGGATTTTTTGTCAACAGGAAATGTTTTAATTTGAAGCCTCTTTTATTATTACAGCCATTCTATGTATGCCAGATTTTTTTCTAAGCCATTTTTATCAGATACAAGATTGCACACATTTGTCAAATGAAATGTCGTTATTGTGTCAGACAGGGAAAATTAGGTCTTGACAGTAGCCAAATTATATGGGAAGCTTACAAAGAGGTAAGAGAGCAATACAAAAAAACCCATGTAACGAATATGATTGTGCAAAAACAACAACAAAAACACACATGCAAAAAAAATGCTAATAGTCATAACATCACATGCATATTATTATTATTTGGACACATGTAAAGGGGGATTAAAAGCATGCAAATGAATTAATATAATAACAGCTGGAAGGAAAGAGCAAAGGAAATGCTCATTTGTACCTCTATGTTGAAACTGTGTTTCACTAAATAAGCTTCCAGGCTCTGCGACAGTTTCATGCATGGGGTGGTAGTCATTATTTCTAGATTGTATATGCATAGAGAAAACATCAACACTATGAAGCACACATATAGCATGACATAAAACATCTAAAATTGTGCGTTAATGCTGCTTTACATACTCTAGTTTTTTTTTAAAGTTATATTCATAAAATAATCGCACAAAATGACTTTCCATCAGTCTAGAAGGAGCTCCAGAGAGATAAAGAATGACCATTAAATAAGATGGTAGACTGGTAGCTTATTTAGAAGTTCAATTTGGGGCGACAGTGGCGTCGGATGTAGGAGTTTGCCCTGAAATCGAAGAGTTGACAGGTTAAGCCCCAGCTCCGACTATCAGTGTCGTGTCGTGGGCAAGACACTTCATCTGCATTGTCTACTGATTGTGATCATAGGGCCCGTTGGCGTCAGTGTTCGACATCCTCGCTTTCTGTCAGGGAGCCCCAGAGCAGCTGTGGCTACAATGTAGTTTGCCACCATCAGTGTGTGAGTAAGTCGGTGAATGACTGAATGTAGTGTAAAGCGCTTTGGTCAAGTCTCCTGAATTTTATGAAAGTGTTCATTCTCATAAAATCTTTTGTGACATCACTACTGCAAATGTCAAAATATATTATTAGTCTAGTTTTGTAACCCACCAACCACAATATAAAAAAAAGTTAAGTAGAATAAAAACAATTTTCTG